GCGCTGCGGTCGCCACATGTAAATACGTTTAATCTGCGAGACTGAAAGAATGCTCTCGAGAAAACTCACCGATGAAATTCTCTGAGTCACTGGTAAATAAATAGACTTGATACATACATTTTTATGGGTCGTTACACAAAAGTAGAAATCGACTGAGATGAAAATGGCACAGCAATAAAATGTTACATCCGTGTAATCGACATTTGAAAGATTTACGTATACTAAAGTTACATACATTAGGAATATAGTAAATTTTGACATAAACCCTTTATATATAACTGATAAATGTACTCGGCCTTAATCATTAAGATGTAAATAATAATTTCCCACGAGAATATAGCAGTGTACTAAAAGTTTTAATGAATAAATGTGTATTTACGTTTAAAATGTTCGAAACGTTAAATTGTAGGCCGTAAAATCGAATACTGTGATATTTTTAAAGCCGTAAACCTTACGTCACGGGTTTAAACAGCTCATGAATGCTCGTTCCACTTTACGGTATTAACATAGTTTTCATCTGCACTTACGCATAATTTTATCTCTACATTGATTGTATGCGGCCATTAATATAAATAATCTTCTCAAAAGAAGGATGGCCGTTGCCAGATTCTATTTTATGAAATATATATATATATATATATATATATAATAAAATAGATTCTATTTTAAGAACATGTTAATTTTATACTGGCCATGGTGAGAATATGTACTATTATTGACCGGCTTTTTCAAATTAACGATAAAACTTTTTAAATATTGTACAACGACGACACAAATTTCTTAACATTTATGAAACTTTGTGGACCACCTGTTTTATACTATACGTGTTATTCCAGTATATTATATAAAAGTGTATTATTATGTGTATATAAGCTTAGATCGAATAATATTATTTCTGCCACGTGAGCACCACGTTGTGCCCTGCCACGTTCAACGTCATATGGGGTAGTCAACGCGCTCTTATTTCGTGATTCAAGTTCGTATAAACAAATTGAATATGTCCATAATTTAAAATGCGAATAATGCGATGCGAAAAATGCGATAAACTGCGAATCGACGAAACCGTTCTGACGTTTCATCCCATCGAACAGCCATAAAAATACATACGTAGGTCTGTTTTATAGAGCCGTTACTTTCCAAGAATAATAAAATAAGATGGGATTTCTGAGATCGACGTTACATCTAGGTAATGCGCTTATTTTATTTTTACACAAAATTTTTCGAAGATTTTTATCACTATACAAAAACAACACAACTCACGCCTCCCATGAGCGGAAGGCCGTAATATAAATGAGAAAAGAATAGATACGAATAAATTAAATGTTAATCCAAGTCCGTACGATCTACAAAACAAGCACACGAGAAAAAACTTTTACATATATCGGAATAATTGAACATAAAGTCTAAATGACGCACAATGTTTACATATTACGTAGCCAAAACCTTCAAAGCACTTTCGATCAAAACAAAGCTTGTCTCGATAGAGTAAACCAGTCCGATATCCGCTGACCGTAATTCATCTTTGATTTACGATCCTTTTAGATACGATCGGAGGAAACGCCTTTACACCGATCCTACCGCAAGTACAGAGAATAAATAAATTATGCACCAAGATGTTACCAAACCAAACCAGACCAAAACTAAGAGCTATCGGAACAATATAATTTATTGCCGAAAAGAATAATGTTTCCATAAGATTTATGGTTCAAAATTATTGGTAAATTTCGTCACAATGCGTGCGAGTAGTACGTGCAGATGAAAAATTTATGTGCTAGATGAGTGTAGGGAACCTCAAGGCGGACGTAGTCCTCGGCTGCAAGTCGATTGTGACGTCATCGTAGTCGCCGGTGGACCGTCGCCGGCCGCGGTCCGCCAGTAGCTCTATGGTCGTCCAGAAAGAGCTCTCCGAAGCGCTCGAGTTGGCTCGCTGCATGTTATGGCCGCTTATGACGATTGCATGTTGCCCCACAAACGACTGGAGGTGCAATGACTGCCGCCGCCATTACAGTCACCATGAGCCTGCCACCCCCGATCGCAGAGCACCCCACGTGACACCCCACCACACGCGAACATTAATACTGTTTGACACGGCTGACGGATAATTTTCCGCACACTCACTCAAGAAATTCATACGCAAGGTCAACGGAATAGTTTCATATTAATAATATTTTGCAACAAATATATATTAGTCATTGACTGCACAAACTTGTCGTTAGTACAAATGTATAAGATCGAGGACGATACTCTTAGAGCTAAAAGGAGATTTGAAATCCTTGAATCTGAAGGTCCATAGACTAGTGAGTTTTGATTTATTTTATTGATCTTCCTAAATATTTAAATGCTTGTAATAAATAGTTTGAGTGTTTGTGGAGTGCCCTGCATGCAAAGGTGTCCCGTTTCTGCGCGCGAGCCTAGTGAGGGTGACCCGGATGGCGCCAACGTCGCCGCGACCGGGTCAGCAGGCATCACGGCCTTCGCCTCCCACCGAAATAATTGCGTTGTCATCCAGTTCATTGACATTAATTTATTGCATTTGTTCATTTCGTGATTCTTTCCAAGCATAAAGCAGTCGGTAGCGATATGTATGGAAGCTGACAATCATTTGTTTATTATCATACATAACATACCACGCAACATTCGAGTAAAAGGTCATTGAACTTGTTGCATAAAGTTAACTGCGAAAACTTGAAGGAGCATTAACACGAACGTTAAACTTTACTGTAAATCTAACTTGCATAACATTGAATAACTTAGCATATTCTTGCTATGTCTATGTTGTGAGTATAATAGAACTATAGTTGCTAAAACATTGCGGTTAAATTTAGAACATTTGAAGACCAATTGCAGTATTCGGGAAGGTGAATGTTACGATCCGATGATATATTGAATGAAAGCGATGACGTCAAGCGTTACTAATTTAAATTTAAATTTTTGTGAGATGTATTTTTGTAAGCGAAATATAAAATCTTAAAATTTATGTTGATCCATAATCGTTTTGTTTTTACTTACGTACAAGTTCATGAATGTAAAATATTGAATTTTAATATTAAAACAATTTTGACGTGAACTTTCCATAACAAAATTCATTTTGTTTTAATTAAAATTGATACTGTTTTGAACCAAAATGTTAAGAAACAAAAACAATATGTGTACAATCAAAGCAACTATTACTTTCTAAGACATAGGACATTTAGTTATTGAAACTACAATCGCACTAAAGTAGGCCGTTAAAACGTTAAATATGATTTTTAAACACGTGATATTAATATCGGAGAGCGGGAGGTCACGTGATTACGTCTTTGTTACAGACAATATAGAACATTGTAATAATAAAAACTTATTAAAACTAGATAAAACTCTAAACGGAAGAGATAAGAAGTGCGTTATTTGCTTAGCAACATAACATTAGCTTAAATAAAGGTTAATCTACTATAACTACATAGCAAAGTAGAAGTACAATCTTTAATATTAATATAAAATTTATTATTATTTAGGTATTTCTCTTGGCAACAAAAATATAGTAGTGATAATAAGTATTGGACGAAAACAAATCGTCATATGACCCTTCTGTCACACGGAGCAATCACTGGCAATAATATTACGAAAAAAATAATTTTCGTGCGAAAACATAACATAATAAAATATTTATGTTTAAGAATTGCAGAAGATAATAACAATATTTGGTAAACTGATAGCGTCTGGAAATCAATGGATTTTTCATATTGATGATGCAATTACGAGCTTGTTATTGCGAATACATATTTTTTTATCAGAACAGTTACTTAAACTTATTTGCCATGCAATACTTGTCTTTATGACATCAGATATTCTACACTGAAACTCTGAAACTATTATAAATATATATGTTCCTACTTATAAAGGAAACATATGTTTGAAATGCTAAACTACTGTATCGAATTCAAATATTTTAATAGTAGAGTCGCTTATGAAAGTAACTCACGCATATTCTATGATCTTGGCCTGCCACCAGCGTGGTAGGTTGGGCAGCTGGAATCTCTTCATCCTGCGTCGCCTCTCCATCTCACCTTCGCCGAGCTCATCTTCACCCTCCACCTGACACATTATTGTAAATTCTTATGTAGAACATCATAGCATTTTTATTAGTAGATTGCTCGGATGCTGAAAACGTTGTCATCAAGCAACTTTCAGCTTAGATCAGCTGCTAGCTTATTAAATGTTTGTTTGATGGTGTCTCGAGAACGGCTGATCGGATCTTGATGAAATATGACATAGATGTAGAACATATTCTGGAAGAACACATAGGCTATTACTAAAATTTTTCTTAATTTCGCGCTCAGGGAGTCGTGGGCGACAGCTAGTTAAGATGGTTTTGAAGTAGTAAGTACTTACCTGAATCTTGACCCTTTTATCTTTATCATTTTGATCAGGCATTTTCTCTATTTTTATATCACTTTAAATTTTAAAATAATTTTGTTTGATTTTAAGTTTTTTAAATTTATATCATCTCGTAAATTTTGATAATTTTTTAAATTTAATTACACTTTTTAGATTTTTTAAAACCGAAAATTGACAAATTGTCAAATTTGACACCGGTCAATTTTATTGGAGATTTTTTCCACGACATTTTTAACAGTTGCCAGTATCATGTGTAACAGAAAACAGAGGCTTAATTGATATAATCATGAAACAATGCATCTCAAACAAATGAACTTGCATTTTAGTTTTTTTGTTGTTAAGAGTCGTAGATGCCATATTTTGTGTAGAAATACCTTAGGGGGGCAAACGAGCAAGCGACGATCTGAATTCGCTAAAATAGCGAAGTGACTACTGACTGCTCTTAGAAATTTAATCGACGGAGTGCTTCCCGCACAGAAAGGGGATATTTTCCCTGAACCTCTTTCGTGAAATCCACATTCTTTCCTCAGCCTTTTAAAAGAAAGGAGGGGAAAGGGGACTAAAAGCTTTGTGTAGTAAAGACAAAGACGATGTAGACAAGGAAGGGAGATAGAAACAAAAACTATGGTATATTTAATAACATATATTTTAAAGTAAAATATTTTGTTATTTGTCTGCATGATTATTTAATACATCTAAGGGCACGTGCAATTTTTTTTTGCGAAATGTATTCCACTGCGCGCGGACTTCGGTCTCCGCTGGGCCCCAGAGCGCGTTCGCACGACAATTCTCCTTGATCCGCTGAACAAATACAATACATTATTTAAATTGTATGAATTAAACAGAACCATAAACACTTGACATTGGCCCAATCCGATGAGGGAGAGCCATAAACAAGAAACAGAACAGAACAGAAATTGTAATAATATAACAGTATTTTTTATTGATAGCCCCCTTTCAGGAAGGTGCGCTAACTTACTGGACACAATTTATAATACTTGTCGATAAAAGAGAAGAATTTTGTAATTGTAGAAAAATATAGCACATATTGAATTTGAGATAACAAACATGTTTATTTAAAAAAAAAAAATTACTTGTAGAACAGGTCCTCTGGACATATAAATAGTTTTCGCTGCAAAAATAGGAATGCATACGACCGACGCAAGTGCAACACACCAGCCAGCTATGCCTGACGCTTCACGCAGCGAATAGCCGGCCACCACCTGCATAGATATAAAAGATTGAAATGTCAATCAAGTACAAAAAAAACAGATAATAATTTGGTTATGAAAGGTGATGAATTGGAGCAAAACAGCGCTTAGTCGTCTTCACATAAAAAAACTTAATTAGTGTAATCTATGTGTTCTTTCAGACTATGTTCTATACGTTTGGCAAATTTAATCGAGATCCGTTCAGCCGTTCTAGAGATATCTTCAATCATCCATCCATCCATCCACATCACATCCATCTAAACGAAAAAAGAAGCTCTTCAAGGCATAAATTCGAAAAAAGAATAAATAGTATCCTATGTCCGTTTCCTGGCTCTGAGCGACCTCCTCACCGAATTTTAGCCATATTGGTAAAGCCGTTCTTGAGTTATGAATAGTGTAACTAACACGACTTTCTTTTATATATATAGATAGTCAGTGTTATATGAATATGATGAGTCCTCCTTCCTTATTCTTTCGTCGAACACTTGGCAACAACACACAGAATTTGACAAGTTAGTAAACATCAGCTGTGAAAAACAACCGGAATATGTTTTGATCTTTGATTTAATGCATATTCATGGCGAGGCGCCAACATACCATCTTTGTATATACTTCCTTAGGTTCTTCCATTCAATATATAGCCGTATACTAGGAATATAAAACATACGCCTTGCGCGTTTTATATTATTGCTTTAGTGTACAATCTGGGTGGTAATCAGAGCTTTTACGCTCTTAATTAGATTATCTGATTAGACTATTTTTGTATGCGTCGTCATAAAATGTAAAGACCTCGAATTGATCAATTAGAAACTGGATAACGTAATTTTATGCCGAATCATTTTTAATTTCTTAAAAGTTCTTTAATTGTAACTTATGCAACTTGTAACAATGTTTGTGCTAATAATAATCTTTAAAGTTGCCACTTAAGTAACCAATAAGTCGTTTCTTTAAAGTTTTTACCATTAAAATAACTGGCAGTACATATCTCCATAGTATCAGCCAGAACCTCCTCAGTGGTCTGCCAGTCATGAAAAGAACGTCGGTTCTGAGCTTGTCCTGGCCGTATGTGTAGACAGCTGCAACCAACTCCATGATGCAGACGATTGGCACGCAAGCTATTGCCACGTGCGAGTCCAGTAGACCGATTATGTGTAGACCAGCCTTAACAAAAGAATAACAATTTTTTTTAAATGGAATAAAAAATTTGATTATTATCTAAAGCTGTATAAAGCTTATGCAATTGCTTTTAATTATTACATTAACAGTTACAACACAGTTAAAAAAAACATGCAGAATTGAAAACCTTTTTGAAGTCGGTTAAAAAAAATATTTAAATTCCCTTCGAAATGACAGTGGTACAAAAATGATTTTGTACGTAGAGACGCACGCAGAGACTTCCGCTATATTTTAATGATATAGATAAGTAAATACATCTTATTATTTCCGCTTATATTAATAATTGAAGGACTTTCGTGTATTGAATAACAACAACATATATTACAGTACACAGAATACGTTTGCATTTACTAATAATGCAATAAATCATATAATTACTAGTGTTTATTAGTTTATTATTAGTGTTTACATGCAACTTGTTATCATTTGATGCTAATATTAGTTTCTATACTAACCTTGGTATTACAGATCGTTGAAATGGAAAAAAGTATTAAACAAGTCATAAGAGTTATTAGTTTTCTGCGTCGATGCAACTTTGGATATTCGTCTAACAGACCTGTGATCACGGCTTCTATTGTCACAAACTAAAACAGACATAAACATAAATACATATAAAATAGCAGAAATTTTCAAAAAGCGCTTTTTTTATCGAAGACATCCTATTTACTTTATGTACCCCGTTTCTTTTTAATTTAGTAGGTACCACATTTAAGTAAGGTTTTTAATTGTACGCTTAGTAAATTGAATAGCGGCAGTCTTCTGTTTTTATTTATAATTGTTTTCTACAGAGAACTTTCAAAATGAATTATTGGTATCTTTTTTAAACCTAAAAAAATGAGAAACGTACCATAGTATCAATGCCAAGAAAGAACAGCATAACAAAGAAAGTTATAGCCCAGAAATTGGGTGCCGGCATTAACGTGACAGCTGCTGGGTACGTGATGAATGCTAGTCCCGGACCAGCAGTCGCCACTTGACTGACGGGCACCCCGGCGCGTTCCGCCGCAAAGCCAAGCACAGAAAACACCACGAAACCAGCCCAAATACTTGTACCACTGTTCACTATTGGTATTATTATTGATGACCTAAAAACAAACTGAATAACACGATATAGCAAATCGGTGCAATATTTGATAAATACGCGTCAGAAGATCACAGGTCGTTTAACGTAACGAAAATGTTTATTATTAATATTTGTTGCTGTCTTAAAATACATTTAAAAGTCAAAAGCTCAATTTTATTTACCTCATTATAAAATAATTTAGAATTATATTATGTTTTAAAATACACACACCTCAAATTATCGTAGTGAAATCTGTTGAAGCTAGCCATGCTAACTAAACCTCCCCATCCAGGTCCGAGCGAGTAGAATATCTGTGTTGCAGCATCTGCCCATACCTGAAATGGACCTTTTATGTGATAATATTTAAAATACTATACAGTAAGTTAATAACTATATCAATTAAATGTAACCTTAGGATTCTTCAACTGGCTCCAATCGGGTAGTATAAAATATAAGATCCCTTGTCCAGCGCCGGGTAAAGTCACGCCGCGTATAAACAGAGCAAAAAGCACCACATACGGAAACAGAACTGTGAAATAAACAATCTGTAAAAAACAAATGTATTTTAAGTCTGGTATGAAGAATAAGGGCAATGTGCCAAGTTTTTTGTGACAGTTATGTTCACTCACCTTACCGACGCTTTTGACACCTCCGCATATACAGAGGTAGACGCAGACCCAACATATTAAGTTGCAACAGAAAAGAGGCCACACGATGCCACCGATCTCGTTAATACTTGGCGACATTTGCAGCAGACGTATACTGAAATACAAATACATTTGGCTAACAAAATAAAATTTAACAGCACTTAATAGCACTCTTTTATTTTTTTCCGCACCGCAATTTCTATTACTATAAATCTGTTAATTGTTATGTATTCAGCCAGTGATTTATCATTTGTCACTAAGAAGGTAAAAACTAAAAAAAAGTAATTTTGCTTACTGGAAGAATTCGTCTTCGGGTGTTGTTACCGCACCTGTACTACCGATTGCAGATGTCGAGTTTCCAGTTAACTAAAATTATACAAATCAAATTAGTAAACACATTTTAAAAGAGAAATATTTGCCAAAATCAAATCAATATACCTCAGAACAACGATCAGTGTTCCATGTGTTCCCGCAGCTCTGCCAGGGTAGGGGAGAAGTGAACGAATGATAGATGTACAGCAAGGGGAATGACATAATCGCAGCGAAGTACGTTGTAGCTATTATGTTCACTAAAATCACTGCATATCCCGCTCCTGTGAACGTAGAATTTAAAAAAATCCTTAATAATTTGTTAATTTATTTTCATAGACAGACAGTTGATAACAAGTAACAATGTTTATGCAGTGGTAACCAACCTTTAAACAGTGGGTTGATGTTGAATATAGAAATACATCCTGCGCTCGCAAACTGACCCAGCGTCGTCTCTAAATACACGAGCGGGATGCCGCAGATGACAAGCGTCAGGAAATATGGTATGAGAAATGCACCTGGAATTTATTGCTATTTTTATATTATGGAATAGATTGTGCTTACCAATATTAATAACGTCATAGAGATAATATAAAATGTAAAGTACTTACATATTCTTATGCGTAGTAGATTTTAAGGTTATTACGAATTAAAAGGAATATATTACGATCGCTGATACTGTGTTTTAGAAATTAGTTGATGCATTTTGCGTCGTATTGTACCTTGAAACCACAAAATTTTATAAAAATAACGTACCTCCTCCATTCCTATAACATAAATATGGGAATCTCCAAATGTTTCCAATACCGACGGCGTATCCTAGACATGATAGCAGATACTCTAGCTGACTGCCCCAACGCTCGTGCGACCTATCAGCCATCGAAACTGGACTAAATATATCGTCGGTCGTGACCCCCCAACGCCGCAATTCTTTCTGATAGCGGCATTAAACTAATTGAGGATATGGATGCTTATCCACCTATTGTCCTTTGCCTTCAATCAAAGCACAGGCGACATAAATGGAAAATTTTGTGCGTGTCGTAATATTGAGATGGACTTTAGTCACTTGATTTGTACGAAAGGTTAACTTTTAGAGGCCATTTTTAAGTACACTTTTAGAAGTAAAAGAAAGAAATTTTCTTCTCTGGTCCTATATAGTTATACTTTAAATAACGATTTAAAAACTTTGAACGGCAAATTGGATTAAAACGACTCTTCCTCGAAATTGAATATAACGTTTTAGTCCAATTTCATAGAGGTTATTTACGGATAAAAGGTAATTGGTTCTAATAAGCTAAGTGAGAATGTAACCTTAGATAATGAGACTGCAAACCACCCACTGAGTCATTATCGCTTCAAATTCATACAATCTTAAATCATTTATAACCGGAAAATGGTAGTGTTTTTGGAATTAGATACAATACAATACATTTTCAAGGAATTACCACTTTCGTAGCAGTCATAGATGTCATATGGCGTGACAATGCTTAAATTGGTTTTAGAAATAAGATACATGAAAACAGCTCGAAAACGCAAACCTTTGTATTTTGTAGTAATGATATAAACCTCATGAAGACATAAGTAAGTAAAAAGTAAGTAAGTATGAGACAAGTAATGATACAAAAAAGTAAGAGAGACGCATATGTATCGACTTGCTTGATCTGGTGACAAAAGTCAATTTTTGTTCGGTTCTTGCTTGTTTACATAAGACGGTTGATGGAGTTGTTAATGAAGAAAATGATAGAATATCGATCAGGCTTATGATATTTGCGACATCCAAGAATAAACAGATGACGAAAGACATTGACTGTTCCAGTAGTGTGACATTTCTATGTTTAGATTTGTTATTTCAAACATCAGTCTCGCTTGTTAACATCGGAATGTAAGAGAATAGAGCGCCAAGTAGTCATGAAAATAATAAATCTTTTGCTGGTCATTGTCAGGTTTCTCTTTGAAGTGTGAAGCACCGTGTCATTTCTCAAGAGGTTATCGTGCAGAATAATATCTCCAATTTGAAACATTCGGGAACGATCATATATTATAGAACATTTTTTTATTCATATATAATTTTCATGAATTCCTTCAGAGTATTTTTAAGAACGTAGAGTATCGATGCCAAATCCAAAATGACACGTCAAATTTTCCGGTAGTTGCTGCCTCGCGGATCCTTGGTCAGTATCCGTTTTACCTTTAACAACTTTTGCAGCAGCTTGACTGTACTGCAAAGTCTGAAAGAAAATAAAATAAATATGTATTGTAACTTAGCTTCGTAATATACTACCCTGAACTTATGAAGCTGTAAAATTGTGAAATACATATATCATGATAGTATCATCCCATGGGATGCCCTGTGTTTCTCCATCTGCAGGTGCACAGAATAAAGCTGCTAGTTTCTTTCCAAAGGTAAAAAGAGTTTAAGAAAAGGACATAAGCGTCTATTTGTGCATATATTTTTAACGAATTAAATCAACGATTCTTACAGAAAGATCTCCGTCGCCATAATAAATAGCGTCATCATCAAGCGTATCATCCCAGTGGTAGTCTTGCGAGGCCTGCGTCCAGTCCGGCCTGTTCAACGAGCATCTGATAGTCGCTATCGTCGCCCTTTGTTCCTGCGGCCCGGCTTTCATCGTGTGAACGCTCTTCTTATCACCCTTGCCTTGCTTTATAGGGATACTCTGAGCGGAACAATCGGGATATTAATTGACACCAACATTATCAATGATTTGAGTACAACAATTATTTCATTACTTTTGATTTATAATGCATATTAATTGTAGTCACATGGTAAACATTACAGATATACGAGTATCAATGTAGTTATAAATATATTTTTATTTATAGCCAAGTTGTAAGTTCATTAATTACGCACAAGTCAAGGACATTTGGACTTACTGATATTATAAATGGGCAAGTTTATGGGATGGATGGATAGATGTTTGTTTGAAGGTTTGAATCCCCTGAACGGTTGCAAGGATCTTGCACAAATTTGGCACAGATGTAGAGCATAGTCTGGAAGAACACATAGACTACAAATTAAGTTTTTATATAAATCCGCGCGGACGGAGTCGCGGGTGAAATCGAGCATTATGTATTATATATCTAGTATCTTATCTTCGCCCAATCTTTTTATTGTCATTAAAATCCTGTCACATTTTAATATAGTCAGATGCATTACCACCGTATACACGAGTCTCAGAGTAACAACGGTTCGGAATGTGTCTCTCAAGCCAACAAGATTGGGACAGAATATCCTAACAGCTGGCTCCTGGAAGTTCATGATCTTGTTCCATGGTACCCTATTGCTTTCAAAGGTTGTGTAGTGGCGGATCTCGCGCGAGTCCACCGCCGTTAAGTGGAAGATGTGAGATCCACGCGATGATGCTTCACCCTCTGAAAATGTTATAAAAAATTATAAAATTAATGTTGAACGGTATTTAAAACAATAATAAATCTATTTTCTTTAGTCGAAACTTGTCCTCGTTTATTTAATAACGGTTGTCGCTTAGGTCTTTATTTATGTGTCCCCTGTCCCTGTTACAAATCGTAATTCGTAAAAAGGGTGTGCCTGGAGCTCGGCCAAAGAAATCTCTGCCTCTCTCAATAAGAGGTGTGAGTTATATTGTTGGTGATGGTGGTATAAACTTGTAATGTTAATATTGATAACTTGGAATTTTAAACATAAAAAGAAAACAAATTAAATACAGAATCATATGGTTGGAAACGTCAGTATTTTTATAACACTTACCTAAAACTGATTTACTTTTGACCATCGATCCAATTTTGCTCGGTTCCCACAAGTCGTCTTCTGGCGGCGGTAACATTTCCACCAAGGACTCGTTGTTGCGAAACATTAAGAAATTTCTTCTCGTTGCATCTAACAACGGTAGTTCCAGTTCAACGTGAAAGGTCATTATAGCACCCTGTGTAATGATTATTGTTTCTTATAACTTACATTGTCCCCACCTAAATAATTATTTAACTTATGGCCTCGTTAACCCTATAGAAATAACTGTATTAAAAGTTTAGTACCTTCCAACTAAGTTTTGGGAATTGTCGTTCATCGATATTGCAACGCGTTTAATGTATTCTGTTCCCACAAAAGATGTGCTTTTAAAATACTATTATTTTTTGTTTCATTGAAATAATTGGATACCACCATGAATTCGTATTGTTAGAAAAAGTTTGCCAGTCATATTCTTTTTATTTCTACTCCAGTAAAACTTTTTATATTAACCTTATCTCCCTTTGGAGGCTGAGGGGCAGAAATTATCCGGAATATAGTAAAGTTAAAATAAGTGGAGCGCAAATCATCTGGATGTATCTCAAAGTTTTCGTCTGGTCGATCCGTGGGAAGAACTTCTCGCATATCCAACCATTGAAGTCTGGGTAATTTCGACAAAGTGAAGCGTGCATAGCCCGCACAAACCTTGAAAATGTTTTTTCATAATAAATTAGTCAATACTAATAAAAAAATTGACCTATTCGTTTGACATCGATAGTTTACAGCGCCATCTATAAAACATAGCAAAAAATATTTCACATACCGCACATGGGTTTCCAGCGAGCTGTAGGGAAACAAGATTCGGTAATGTTGCCATAGCATTTAGTGTAGCTTCCAAATCACAGATGTCGTTGTCGCTTAAATCCAAAACTGTGATGCTGTCGGGTAATTTACTAATGCCTTCAACACAATCTGATGATAATAATTCGTGTGTGAATAAATATCATTAGTATTGTAATACTTTTGGCATAAGAGTGTTATATTTTCTAAGCATTCACTTTACCTATAACATTTTTGGCCAATCCTAAATATAACAAACCGGATGGTAAACCTGCTGCAAGGACTTCCAGAGTTTCAATAAAATTGCTTTGCATCTCGAGAGCTCTCAGTCCACGTGGCATGAAGCCTGCGTCGATGTCACGTAGGAAATTTCCACATAAATTAAGACGGACCAGTTTTCGAAATCCGGTTAACCCTTTATCTAATTTGGTCATCTAAAACACAAACGATGTCTGTAAATACGTTAAAAATGTCATACACAAATAAGTAGTATTGTTTCTGATCGTACTTCACAATCGTTGACTCTCAAAATATTGACGTTCTTAAAATCATTTTCCAAAACCTTTTTGTCATTGTTAGAAACAGCGTTTTTAATTAAATTTATCAAGTCGTCAGTGATGCAATTATCATTTTGAAAGCATATTTTACTTTCTTCATTAGCAAATTTTTCGTTATCCCACATCACAGTGGGTAGTATGACTTCCCATTGATCTTGAAGGCTTATATTAGAATGTTTGTCGAGAAAGCCACATAACACGCTTTTACTAATTTTTCGTTGTAATGCTTGAGAAAACAGAACTTCTGGGACTTGTCGGCGGTAGCGATTTTTGGAATATCTAGCTGCTTCTTCTTGAATAGTCCAGTCGACGTCCGTTTCTATTCTTTCTTGATAACCTGAGCGGGTTAATTTAAAAGATAATTTAAGAAAATGAACAGACATAAATTGATTAAAATTTTCAATCTTAATCGATAAATGAAACTACTTATTTTTATAAAAAATGAAACAAGCAATATTGTATTATAAAATATTATATAAGTGCTTGCATGAGTTTTATTTGCATTTTCATTTTATTGCAAGAATTATGAAATATTTTTATGTAAATACCTTCAACAGCATCGCTCGGAACAAAATTCAAACTTGCGTTACTAATTTCTGGTCTGTTAACCGGTACTACTATTTTTCGTGCTACTTCTTTAGTTTTTGGTGGCATATTTTAATAGATATTCGATATCTATGTAAATTAAATACAAAATATTTGTTATAGTATTAAAGTGACAAACGTCAACTGTCGGTTTATATTGACATGGTATTATGTAAAACAGGATTTGAAACCTTTGGCTCCTCATACCGATATATATTTAGTTAGTAGTACATAAATACATAATTCTGTAACTAGAGCGCATTGCCACTACCGGGTCTAAACTACTAATATTAGAATTGGGATTCGATCCGAACACTTTAAGTTGTTGAGGCAACCTGTATAACTACTCAACTACCGCAATTATAGTGATGCGATAAACGTAAGTCAATTATAACTACTTCTTAGCTATCTTCGCAATTATATGTGGGATTTTTATGAATTTTATGATTATAAATCTAATTTTAAATAAATTTTTGTTATTCCCGATGAATGTTTTGAGAATCACGATCGATGCATTTTCTATTTTTGGTATCTCGGTCGATAAAACAGTCGCGCATTAGTTGTATCGCGCACCCACTAGAGGGCGCTGTGACGATAGTTTATTCCACGATGTGTGAATGTATGGAATGTATTGCATAGTTTGGTTTGGTGTATTTCGCGACCGCGATTGACGTATTTTGTTTATGTGTGCGTTGCGTACATTATAAAACCAGACTTACTTTGCTGCTTTGCTGTATGAACGTCACATATTTCATTCATTTGCTTCACTCTCTACGTTGTTACATGTCCGTAACGTCGCGATTGTTTTGCTGCGTGTGTGTTTATATTTAAAAACTGCATTTTTTGAAGCGACATGTGGCGAGCGATCTGTGTCTTCTGTGATGTGACTTTGACATTTCATGTGACGTAATGTGCGGGAAATTCGAACTTTAAAAATCCAAAGGAATGTTGTGTAGTTTAGTTGTTGAATTAAATGTATGTAAGAAGTTCAAGTGAAAGTAAAGTGCGGAACCACTTGTTGATTGTTAATCGCCGCTATGACCTTTCCGTGGTTGGCGAAGACTATTTGTTTGAATTTTTTGCAACGTGCCTTTTAAAAGTTTTGCACCTGGACTTGTATTGGAGGTATTTCCATATTTTACTAGCAAAAACGGGCTATGCAATGCCAACGTCAAAAACACGTCTAAATAATAAGAATAATGTCAAGGCCGCCGATAGTTTCTCAAAATTACTTAGGTATCAGTAAAATTGTTTTTAATCTCTGGTACCTCATTATGGAGGAACCTCGAACCTCCTTTGAACATGACATTTTTTGACATTGACAAGGGGTGCCTATAGTTTTTAGAGTTACCAGTAAAAAAAATTCCCCAGCTACTGCCGCAATTCACCAATGTTAAATGCAAATACGAACTGTAAGCAAAAGATCAAATTGTCGCACTATACTTATGTGCAAATTTTTTATCGGAATAGCGACAAACATAATACAAACGTGTTTTAAATATCGACCACTTTATTATAACAGGACATGTTCAATAACGTGTAATAGGCACATTTTTTTAGAGGACGCAGTAATTTTAAGATAAAATTCTAAGATATATAAAACATGTTGTCTCCATCTAAACGCTTGTAAAAAAGATATATTCATCTCACTTAATCTCTTTGAAAAAATAAAGACAGCGATATGTTGACAGTGGACTTTGAAAGTCACTTTCTTCTAAATTCTGTAAAATCTCTAACCAAGTCCTAAAAGATTAGATTTTATAATAGCAGTTTTCAGATATCCGACGACCTTGACCTTGGGCCGCCAAGGATTTTGAAAAAAGTCAATCTTACTATAAAATATTATAAATGCGAAAATTTAGATGGATGTTTGTTAAACGGTATCTACTGAACGGCTTAAATGTTCATGATGAAATTTGGCACAGATGTAGAACATAGTCTAGAAGAACACATATGCTATTAATTTTCTATTAAGTTTTTTTGAATCCGTGGGGACGAATTCGCGAGCGACAGCTAGTAATATATTAAAATGTCAAATACAACTTTGTTGGAAGGAAGTATTTTTGACTTCCGATTTATAAGATATCGTGTGCAGCTACCTCATGAAGGTCAAGTGCTGTTTTGTTGAGATTACCATTATTTATACGGAAAATTTTTACGGACATTTCCATATAACCTTTAAAAAGCAACTGTTAATAAAAACAATCCATTTACTATCACTACACCAATATATATTAATAAAAAACCTAAACCATTTAGGTCATAGGTCAATGAAATTTATATATATACAAACTAGTTTATATTAAATAATTATATATCCACGAAACACATGATCCATCAAAAGTGGTGAACGGATTTGGATGAAATTTGAAACATACATAGTTTACAGTCTGGAATAGCACATAGGTTGCTTGTTTTTTTGTTTGTACGCAGACAAAGGGGCGGGCTAGTTTTCTAAGAAATTGATGAAAATAATCGCAATTACTCGTAGCATATTAAAAATTATTTTAAACTATTTAGAAGATTTTTATATGTTCTTAAACGAAAAGAGTTAATCATTGATGATTGACATCTAATTGTGTCATAACAACAAAAATATCAGAAAGTCTTCTTGAAGTTGCTTAATTGTTACTTTATAAATACTAGATTTTTGTAATTAGGTATTGTAAAGTGTTAAGCTTTGTATAATTTTCTATATGAATGACAACTAAAATGATTATAGTATATTTAAAATTACGACGATTTTCAATAAGGAATATTCTTTGTTATCTGAGGATTGCTTACTGTTATTGCACCATATAGGTAAAGGATAGTAATTATACCTTGCGACTAAAACGAATATTAAGTTCTAGGTATAGAGGTATTCAAGTATATTGGCGGCTCGGATAATCATACGAGTTTCAGCTCAGACGATTTTCACTACTTATAGAGTAAATTGGCCTTATGAATGTTTCAAGTCGTGTAATGCGGGTAGAGGATATCTCGTGCAGGTGTGCAAGCACTCCGCAATCCTTTAGTTCCATAGATACCAAAAATGTACACCACGTCTTTGATGAAATTGCGAGCCGACATAAAGTTTGGTGGACACTGTAGTAAATATGAAAGTATTTAAATTAAATGTGTTTCTTTTGTTATAGAATACCATCAAGATGTTTACAATGACGGAAGGGGGTTTCGGGGTGGGGGACTTTGTGGCGTTCGGGTTCCTGTGCCTCGCGTCCTGCGCTGGGGGGCTGTGGTACAGCGCAATAGGGTCCCGAACCAAAGCCGTAGTGGATATAAGAGATTACTTGCTCGGCGGACGAGCAATGTCAACATTCCCTGTCGCTATGTCGCTTATAGCAAGGTAATTTGCACGATTTTATAACTTAGCTAGTACGTGGCTCTGAAGTTGGCACTTGAGCCAGAAAAATAATCTTGTTCCCAAGGTGCCAAATCACATTTTAGATACAAATACGGTCGTATATGGATAGAATAAATACATCTTGTATACGTTCTCAGATATTAATCACAGTTAGAACAATTTTGTATAAAATAACATACGTAAATGAAATTAAAACGTACATTTACCGTCTCAGTTAAATTGTTAATAAAATATGAAGATCCTGGTCTTAAATATTAATTTAAACCTATGTAACAGTTACGTGTCTGGAGTGACGATTCTGGGAACGCCTGCAGAGATATACAACTACGGCAGCCAGTACTGGCTAGTGGTTGTCGGAGTGTCTCTCAGCTGTGTGGTGGTTGCGACTGTGTACCTGCCAGTGTTCTGCACTTTGAGACTATCTTCATCATATGAGGTAAGTTTACATCATAGAACTGTAGCTTGCGATTAAACTATAAAATATAAGGAGTACGAAAGTGGGACAGATGTTGAATAATTTCCACAGATTATACAAAACTAGTTGTTCTGTGCGGAGAATTTTATACATACATCACGATAACACAATTTTTTAAAATAACTATGGGTAATAATTATTTGGAAAAAAAACTTTAAAAATGTTTGATATACCGATTTATAAGGGAACATTTTTGTGAACATATAAATTTAGTTAATAGATGACACGGCAATAGTAGTATTAGATGTTGACAGTTATGTCATGAGTCATTTGTTTAACAAATTCATAAATTATATAAGGAAAATTATGGCTTCGATAAAAAAATATTCATACGTCGACGTAGAGCATCTTATATAATTTACGTCGATATTATTCACAAGGAAAACAGTCTTATTTCCTCATAGGTGTAGAAGTTTTTAACTCCAAAATAGAGAAGGCTCCCAATAAATGTGTATGTAATAAATCACGTAATATTTATCTTTGAAAAGTATAATTTCCCAGTATCGTTGAAAAGAAATATATTTTGGTAGTTTCATTGAACTAAACATAAACTTGAAATATTATCAGTACTCTCGTACTGTATCTGGATATTCTTTTGATGAAGGTTGATATGTAAGTTATGAAATCTGATAACGGAGAGCATCTGATAAACTTAATCGATAAGAGAAATGTCTCTTCTTTCATTTGAATAATTCAACAGGTACTTTTTGATATAATTTAACTATCCTTATACTTTTACTCATTTTACAAATATTCACAGATTTACAGAAAACATAAATATTTATTATTAACGTGTCATTTGTTATGCTATATTGCACATTAGTCACTCCTTTTATATAAATTATGTAAGATCCGTGTAAAATACTATTGTTTGTCGTCGTCAGAACGAGCTATTATTTAGTCTTATTTCTTCTCTATGGAAGTTATTCTTCATGGATTCTAAGAAATATAGGATATAAGAAAGAACAATTCAGATTTATGACGGCTAAGATTTATGAAATACTAGCTGTCGCCCGCGACTCTGTCCGCGAGGATTAAAAAACTTAATAAGTAGCCTATGTGTTCTTCCAGACTGTGTTCTAAAACTACGCCAAATTTCACCGAGATTCGTTAAGCCGTTCTGGAGATACCTATTATCAATCCATCCATCCATCTAAACATATGCATTTATATAATAATATTAGTAAGATATGAAAGGATGTACAGATATTATATGGAGAAAATATAATATCAAAATAACGCACTAACCATATTATGATTATTACTAGGCAGGGTTTATACAAGGCCATCGTATCAATTGAATCAGCCATGTTGGTCGTTTCATAAAGTTATCTCAAGTAAAGAGATCCGTGTGTAGATATTATCAGAGCGCCGGCAATCTATCAAGCCTCTAGTTGCCAACCGCGCAGGACTTTGTACCGTATTGTGTTTAAATATATCACTCACTTCGATATAATCTTCTTGTAACTTATCGTAAAAAACTTTAACAAACTTTTGCCGTAATTGAAATCCAATTAAATGTCCTTGTTGTAAATACAACAATGATTCACAGTTTGCTTCTGAGTCTAAAATCTCTATTTAAAACTTATTGTTATGTTGTGTTTTCAAATATTATGACAGGAATTAAATGTTTTATACAGAGATGTTGGTACTAGAATCCACGATCAGTGTTAGTAACGAGTAAATTCGAAATCGTTTTTTACTTATTTATAATTTTAGGCCTTACGTCCACTTAAGTGTTTTGAGTCGATGTAATATTAGTTAGAAAGCTCAGGGGAAGAAGATGATGAAATGTAAAAACAAACTTATACAGTACAAAAAACAATACCCTCTTGTAAGTCGTGTAAAAAAACATCCTCCGATTATGAATTTGTTTGTATATTTTTTATTCCTAGAAGTTTTAGATGTAGATGTAGATTATACAAAAAATAAAAATGCTGTTTCTAAAAGACTATACATTAAAAATCAAAAGTTAAAAAGATTTGTTAATCGCATTAAAAATTAGTTCGTAAATTTAAAATATTCCATTGAAGCCATTTCTATTTTTAAACTTTAGGTATGCAGTTGAATTATAAATAATTATGAATTAATTACCTAAAGTTTTATTGCTCGCGGCGATTGTTGCTAAGCTTGTAACAATGAAAGTGTTATCAAGCGGCTTAACTGAATAACCCATAAACAGCATCTGTGTTATTAGAAGCGATAGCGCAGTAAGTAACCACTAAACAATCGAAATGATTTGATTCCAAGTCACCCTGTGCTAGTTAGTTTTGTTTAGTAGCTAGCTAATACTTCGACTAACATCCTAATGATATTTTATCAGGTTCAGGATCGAACTACCCGCCAGTTTCTGAGACCAAAATGTCTATCTAAAACATATATTTGACACAAACAGAGATATATTTTAAACGAGGATTTTGATCATTACAATGTAATGGCGTTACATTTTGGCAAGGATTCTTTACTCATTGGCAACTGACTTCTCTTTGTTATTGATAAATTAGAAGTAAAATTTGAAGATGAATCAATTACATATAACTGATTACATTGTACACGTTTTTGTGACGTATTATTTAATTCCATCTTCTATCTACCAAATATACTTAACCGTATACACATTCGAAATACGAAGAAAAACATATTATCATTTGCAAAGAGTTAATTAATGTGTTGATTATTGTTACTCGAAAACAATGTTTGAAAAAACTATCATGATCAACCTTAAGATGTTTAGTTCTTATGTTTAATATATGCAATAAATTTATTACTTGACTACAAAATTATATTTAAACAGATGCTGTTAATTGTTTTGTGTGATTCGTCTAAAGTTAATTTCATTAGATGATAATAGCATTTTATTTTCGTAAGTGTATCTCGAAATATTCTTATATGTCCTTCGTACTCCGCAGTACTTTTTGATATGCAGTCTTTTTATCGCAAAACAAGTTTATGTATTGCACTAAAATTTTAATGCATAAAAGTAGAAGTGTATTTATAAACGGTTATTAACTGAACAAAGTTTGATCAAGCATTAAATTTTTAATTTCCAATCACATGCGTTCATACGAGTGACAAGAAACGTGACCTCTCTAGTGTTAACGAGCAATATTTTGCTATAATGACGGCATCATGTTCTTTAGAATATTTATTCTAGCATAGTAAAAATCTGCTTGAATTGTATAGCATATAACACCGTACGGGCACAATCCAATGCCTTTAGGTTATAATTTAAAAAAAATCTGAGAAAAAACTAAACCGGAAATGGTATCGGAATATCTTATCGTTGCCAACTCTATGTACCCAACATATTGGCTATGATGATTAAAATAATTCAATTAATTAATACCATTTTCCACTGTCGAAACATCTGTACAAAACATAATTATATTTCACATTTTTCAGACATATTAAAAGAGACGACAAGATATTTTTGTACAAACTTTTCGTCATTGGAAACTCTTCGTTACATGGTTGTGAAAACTTTTTTTTTTTACAGTATTTGGAGTTACGATTCAATCGGCACGTCCGCGCCGTGGCATCCATTCTGTTTTTATTGGACGAGGTAAGTTCTAATTTGATAGACATTAAATATTATTCTTTGTTAATTTAGGTCAAAATCTGTAAGAGTTTATTGCATTTGATTGCGGTTCTTATTTGTACGTGGAAATACATTTGCTATAAAAAATTCTGTCACCTGTAATACTATACACGTAAACAGAACTGAAATGTTTGATATTTTTGTCATAAAATTTAATGTTTCTGAGTGAAATTATAAAAGATGCCTGTTGTTTATTGCTACGATCAATTCAATTAAGGTCGAACTCTCAGAAAAGTGTTGCTTACGTCATTTCATAGCGTTTAAACGAAAACTGTCTTTATGACAGACATGTTTAGACTTACAATCGATCCAGTGAGTATTTATTTGCTGGCCGTGCACTTGACTTGTGGTTTGCATTGATTTGACAGTTGGCAACATAGCCATAAACGCTTATCGATAAAAAAATATGATTGCAACCATTGAAATGCGCCTATAAATAATATATCCTGCTTTGCCTATTTCATACGTAGTAAGTAACATTGTCTTAAAGGCTTTCAAGGTACCGATTCGTATTACTAATCTCATAATGAAGTTTTAACTTATGAAAGAGAAAACGCAAAAAAAGTTGATGGCTCTGTAACCGTTGGTTTCTGAGACCAAAATTTGTGTATAAAACGTATCTGTCATCACTTTTATTATCATTGATAAAACAGAGATAAAATATGTTTTAAACGGAGTTTATGGCCTCAGAAATCCGCGGTCAACGATCAGGTTTTGTTATTGCTCTTGCAATCTTTAAATTTAAACCAAACAGATATAATGCTGCTTGTTATTAGCAAAGACGGTTCGAGATTGATTATTGGGTTTGCTTGTAGCAATATCAAACACAATCGAGCATGTATAATATTTTAATTAAAAGAGCTAATAGGTAACTGCAGTGTATTAATCACCGACGTTCTTAGTCACGGATTTTTCTCATTGTTTTTGTTTAAGTTTTTCTTGTGATTTGATTTTAATCATTGTATTGTAAAAAGGTTCCTCTGAGTGTTTTTATTAGAAGCGAACAATGCCATAGGTCTTGGATTTACGCGCGTTTCCATTGTTGAAATACCTGCACACTTATTCCTGTCTCTGGTGTTTTCAAAGTGACTGAGCGGGATGACAATATATTTCCGTATAGGTTTCGGCTTGACGGCCTCGATTTAAATTACAGATGATATTAAATTCTTTTATTTCTAATTTTTCAAGTTTTAAATTTAAACATAATTAATTTTAAGCGCATTTTTTTTTCATTCGCATTCAATAGAAAAAAAATGACCTAGAACGTTATCAAATGTCATTTACCGCCATTTTGCATTAATTCAGTAACTTTACTATGAGTTTTCACTGTCGAGGAATCTGTAAAAATATATTCTCTTCTCTCTCAGTTACAATGAATAAAAGATAGCTATTCAAATATAAATAAACTATGAATTCGTGATACTTACGTATTATACTTATTAGTGAGTTTGGTTTTTAAAATATTACTCTAGGTTTGACACTTGTCTTCTTGTCTCTGTTTTTTTCATAGAGAATGTATGTGATAACAATAGGTATTACTGCATTTGAAATTTACAATTACAATGCAAACGATGTCTAGTTCTAAATAATAAGTTGAAAGTGCTCAATCTACAATTCTATTGGAGGTCGTTCGCTGACTCGGGCTTGTGGACTTTGAACGTCGCCCGACAACTTCCTCTGTAAACATCATTTCTCGGCTAACAATACGATATCTTTATTACTTATTTTTTAAACTAACTATTACTTGCGACTTCGTTCGCTAGAATTGAAAAAAAAAACATGTGTGGCTTATGTGTTCTTCCACACTATGTCCTACATCTATGTCAAATTTCATCGTGATCTGTTGATTCTTTTATATGAAGTAAAATTAAGTTAACATCTTCCGATGTACAGTAAAGCTAAAAGTTGACTTTATTTACTTTTGCTATTCAGCGTCAACTATTATAATTAAAAGATAACTGTAATTTAAATTGTTTACTTTACAAAATGTCTGTATGTGTCTATTTATAAGTGTCAATTACGAGCCAAGGATGTGCGCGATTCCGGACTTTGTTTCAGGTCGACGTGGCGGGTTCACAACAATGGACAATGGTCAATTGACCATTTAAAAATGTAATGTTATGATTGTCAACACATAAATTGGATCTTAGTATCCAAGCCGAGGAGTTGTTAAACAATGCAATACATTTACAAGAAATTATAGAAGTTTCTGTATCCAATATATATGTTTTTTAGTCTTAGTTTTACTAAAGATGCATTTATACAATGTCCCACAACCTTTTCAAGGCTACATTTTATAGCTAAACTCTGTAAGAGTAGGCCGATTTTCGAATTTCATTCCGACGGGCGCTGCGCCGTCGGAGACTACACTGGATTTAATTTCTGAATTAATATTGTAATTCTTGTAAATTTCCTTCAAAATACTTGTGTTTTGTAAAGACAATGAATATAAATATCATTAGGTATTCACATTTGTATATGTGAGTGTTAAAAACAATTGTAAAATGTTGTATGGAGATTATAGGTGATTGTATTGGTCCAAATTCTTAAAATAATTGTTGTTCTTTGCAGGTGTTGTTTCTCCCTATGGTCATCTATGTTCCAGCTTTAGCATTTAATCAATGTAAGTTTGTAATTTAATAATTAGTTTTTTTTTTTATTTTATTTTCATTTAAACTATTTGCAGCACTTTCGGCCTCTATGTTTATATTTTTTTTATGATCGATAGATGATACTAATTGACATCAGTTGAGGGCATTTATAAATAGATATGTTTTTATTATAATGTAGCCAAATTGCTTGTTTTAGTTGGTAGTTGTACTATCGAATTATTTTTAAACAATACGAAGGTGAATGGAATTTTATTTTGTTTTTGTTATGTTTTTTTTATTTTTATTTTTCAGTGACAGGGTTTAATGTGTACGCCGTTGGCGGCGTTATGGTAGCAATATGTGGCCTTTACACTGTATTAGTGAGTATTATTACAACTATTTTCACTTTTTGTTAGGTTTTTAAATGTCTTATTGCTATCTGATGAAAGATCATTTTAAAATTAACGATAACGCCATCTAGTTTTAATTAATTTAAACATTATTAATTAGATCTGTTGTTTTGCTGTAAACACGCTTTACAATGTTGTTGTCAGGGCGGACTGCGCGCGGTGGTGTGGACAGATTCAGTGCAGACGGGCATCATGTTTATTGGTGTGGTGTTGGTAGCGGCGGCTGGCACCATCGCTGTGGGCGGCGTGCGTGTCATCCTTGACGTCACGGAGGAGTCTGGCAGGCTTAGCATCTCCAAGTTAGCACATTTTTAACGTTACTGATTGATGATTTATATATAGTTATTGTAACAGCGATATTTGTGAATTTTGAATACTTCTTAAATCATCTCCTCAATGTCTGAAAATGGTATATTTCTTTGTCTCATTAATGAAGAAAAAGATTTTACAGGAAAGTTCTGGTAACACTCATATTTACAGTTGGGATTTGTCGCCGTACGTGCGGCAGACAGGCTGGGGCTCGGTAGTGGGCGGCTTCCTCTACTGGACCTGCTTCAACTCCGTCAACCAGACGATGGTGCAGCGCTACATCTCACTACCCAGCAAGAGGAAAGCTATCATGTAAACATTCCGTTTATTTGTCATGTTTTTTTAAATATTTGCTTTATTCGTAGCCATGAAGAAGTACAAAGAACTACTGATACGTTGCTACATTTTGTAAAGAAAAGCGGGGCATAGATGAAAAATGAGACGGAGTCGCGTGATTGCATAATATGCGTTATAGGTCGGATTTGCGGAAACATGGTCATCGGGCACCGCATATTCATTCATTGTGAGATTCTTCGACGTCGTAGTACTTTTCTACGGTTGGCTAATCATTGCTTCAACTGTTTGCTAACCAATTTTAACATTTCCAGTGCATTAGCAATCTTTTGCGTTGGTGCGATCCTGGCGATATCACTGTGCGTGTGGTGCGGGCTGGCGGCGTGGGCGGCCTGGGTACAGGGTGGCTGCGCTCCTGCCGGCCGTCCGCTCGTTGACGACCGCCTTCTGCCCGCCTTCGTCACCTACGTCTCCAGGGTCCAGCACCTGCCGGGGCTCGCGGGTGTCTTCCTAGCTGGTGTGTTCGGAGCTGGTTTGAGGTTTGTTAAGGTTATGATATGTTGACCATCGCAACGTAATCCAATCAAAGAATGTGAGTGTGGAAGTTAGTGTGTATTGTGAAATATTTATACAGCTCTCTGTCGGCGGTGTTGAATGCGTGTGCGCTGGTGGCAGTGGAGGACATAATGCACGGCTGGTTGCGACTGCGGCTGCGCCCGCTGACCGAGGGCCTGCTGGCGCGCGCCGTCACCGCTACCCTCGCGCTGCTCTCGCTCCTTATGCTCGTCGTCATCACCAAGCTTGGCGGGGTGCTCGGTTAGATATTGTTATTACATCCAATATGTCATTTAGCGTGTCTACTTCCAGTAAGTAAAAAATAACTATGATGATGTACTTACTTTTATAATAATTTTGACTAAAATTGAATTACGCGTGTCTTCAGTCAAGTTATAAAAAAGACAATGACCCCGGTAGGTGTCAAGACAACCTTACGTAAAACTTTACGTAATATGTATCTGTCAGCGACACCATTCTACGTGTACACGTCTCATAAACGAAATCTGAACGTTCAATATTACGTAATGAATACTTGGGTAAAGTTCAACGAGTTTTTTTTTTACTTTTGGGAAAGTTTCGACTAAATTACTCTTATACAACGTTTAGCATGGAAAAAGCTTAGATACTTAGTAATTTCAGTTTGATTGTTGTGTTAGGTGTTGCGACGGCATTGTCAGCTATCGCAGCGAGCTCGACATGCGGCATGTTCACGCTGGGCATGGCGTGCTGGTGGGTGGGGCCACGCGGGGCTATCGCGGGCGCGGTGGCGGGCGCCGTGGTCGCGGCTACCGTGTCTCTCGGCACGCAGGCGGCCGCCGCGCACGGTCTGCGCGAGCCTCCCATGGACTACGCCATGCAGTGCCCCAATGCTACCTTCCAGCCTCCTGTTTATCTAGTAAGTGGGCGCCCTTGAGAATTACTATCATAATCTCGGTAGGGATGTCTACGTTTCACAGTGTGTATTGTTCGTGAGTGTAACGTAGGATGTCAATTTCCAGGATCCTGAGGAGGTATTCCCCCTGTTCCGCATCTCGTACCACTGGATCGCGCCGCTGGGGCTGGTGACGACGCTGTGCGTGGGGAGCGTGGTGGGGTGGCTGTGCGACCGGCGGCGCGCGGTGCCGCTCGATGCCGAGCTGTTCACGCCGGCGGTGTGGCGGTTGCTGCCGGCGGAGGCGCACGACAACGCCGGCATCACGCGCAGGAACCTCGCCAGCAAGGCCGCGGACGCGCCGCCCTCCACGCCGCTCATTGTGGGACAGGCCTCTGATAAGGTAAAATGTTATTAGACAGGTTTTTGTGAATGTGCTCTGATGTCAAGATTTGAACGGATCTAATAATGATTTAAATTGGCGACATATTATAACTTTTAAAAGTGAACAGCAATAGGCTTATAAAAATATATTTGCTCGGTTTTTCAATCAGGTGCAACATTAAATAATATCTTAAAGATCTTGGAAGCAGGATCTTATTCTTTTAAAAACTTCTTCGTATCAGAATTAGATGAAATTTGGGCAATGTTGTGAAACCAAATTACGTAAAATTAAGTTGATATATATTGTTTCAGATTGAAATGAACGGAGAATCGAGCAGGTGAAGATTGTGTAATTTTTGTACAAATGTACATATCGTTCATGTGTTGATAAAATTTAAGAATACTTGTCGAATATATTTTAATATGTATTGACTAAGATGGGATAAAAAGACGTTATTTTTTTAAGATAATAAACATGTTTCTTAATGAATATTTGATATTTATATAGGAAATTATGTTATGGTGCAAACTATAATTTAAAACATTATAATTTTAATAGATAAAAAATCATTAAATGATAATGCTTTAAAAATCATGTAGATATTATCAAAGTTCCTGAGTAGTTTGTGGCAATATTTGGACCGTAAACATGATTAATATTCCTAAGTATTCTTATTTAAATTATAATTATATTAAATTCCATAAATCACATTGCTGTTAACTTGTGGAATAATTTAATCATTTTAATATATTTAGATTGAAATAATCGGAAGATACATGTAGAGTAATAGTCATTGTTAAAATTATTTGAAATTAATTATTACATTATGTGAATTAACGTTTTTATTTTACAGCATGAAAATTCCTTGTTTTAAATATATTAACTAATTTATTTATATATTATGTAGTCAATTAGCCAAGCATTTGTTAGAGATAAAAGCTGTTTCGTGATGTTTAGCTCGAATATAAGCCGATTGTTGCCCAAAGTATTATAGTTTGTGTAAAACTGGTGCTATAACATGGTTATGATTGAAAATTGTAATTAACACGTTGAGCGCCACGTCAGCCATCTGTGGCTGACACTAGATTTTCTGTTTAGGATGTTTGACGCTCAGTGACATTTGAACTGTAATGAACTGATTTGTCGCAAAAAGAATAACGGCCACGAATCCATTTCAAAGAAATTTGATCTGAGCGGGCTAAGCGGTAAGAAAAACAAAACAGACTTGGCGCGTAACGTGTTGAAACAAAGCCTATTTATAGGTATAACGTTAAAAATGTAAACTATTTTGTACTGCGATCGGAAACACCGGCCCTTAAATACCAGTATATAGCGTATACAGCGTATAAGCGGCGCTCGTGGCCTGAATGGGATTGTCTTAGAAATACGCGTGGCGCTCAACGTGTTAATAAATGTTTATAGATTTTGTGTCTATTTTTGTACTTATAGTATTTTAAACATGAATATAAAATGAAATCAATTATAATTTAAATGTTAATTAGGAGAATAATAAATAAATTAAAATGAATAATTATCAATACATATTTGGAGATTAAAAAATTACGTGGACCAAATAAAATATTGGATATGTTTGTGATGTAGAAAAAATATTTTGTAAAATTGTAAGTAATTTATAAATTTGGTTACATAATTATTTTATACTTTAGGTTTATTTTATTTTATTATATATTCTAAGAAATATATGTATATAATTATTTATATGTATAATTTATTATCCGTGAAACAGTATTTACGAGTACTTAATATTGTGTATAATATACATATAAAATTATTTTGTTACTGTTTTACAATTGTAAATAAGTAATTAAATAACATATATAAATATAGCTTTTTATTACCACTTCAACCGAAGAGCTCCTTAAATGTGGTTAAGGGAAATGTGACTTAGATTTCAGAAAAAAAGAAGTACTAATCATCAGCTCACAATACGTCCCCACCGAGGGACTCGAAGCCTATCCTAAGTTAGGGGTGACTACGCCATAGTCAACCACGCTATGCAACGCTAGGCTACGCAGCGCCAAGTGCGGGTATTCTGCTTCACACATATCTTTGAATTTCTTCTCAGATATGTGCAGGTTGCATCACGATGTTTTCCTTCACCGTAAGACAGTCGGATAAATGTACATATGTAAATCGAAAATCGAAAACAAATTAGTACATGGCGGGATTCGAACCCAGGACCTGCAGATTACAAGTCAAATGCTTGACTCCTGAGCCACCGACGTTCCATCAAAAGGTTATACCATAGTATTCTATAGTCGAATCGCCCGTATAAAACATTTTATTTCAATTGAAAAAATGAAAGGAATATGCTTTTATACGAATGTTTCGACCATTCAAAATCTTAAAGCAAAATTATTGAAGGTAAAGGAATTATTAAGGCGTAGCATTAGTTCGAGTTGTAACAATTTCGTGGCGTCGAACTTTTGCAAAGTTTTAAATTGCAAAGGCAAGGGGAATAACGTAAATAGTCAGGTGCTACCGGAGGCAACTGGCATCCTCACTGTACTGTTATAGGGTTGTCAAATGAGAACTGTTGATATTAGTAAATTAAATATATGATAAAAACATAAGTATATCGTTTATTATATTTATTATTGAATTTAAAATAAATAAATTGACGAGACCGTGATAGTTATGTGATAAAAAAAAATTATAGCAGTTAAATATTTGAAATCATATATAATATAAAAAGTATCCTGAACAATTTCCATGCATCATAAGAAATACAGACGTATTCAATTGAACTAAAAGTTAGTTAATGAATAGAAAGTCCTGTGCAGATCATACTTTTAAGTTACTTAACGTACCAAAGAATAGTTTATAACTTTTTAATTCCTGCTTAGAAATGGTGAAAATACAATGGTTTTAAAAGGTAAACGTAAAAGACATTAGTAATGGCAACCCTAGAAAAGGGTAATTTAAATTCGGCCCGCGTCGCCGCTATTAAAAGTCCCACAAAACGAGGCTTTGCACGCGTCGCGAGGACAACTCCAGCCACCAGCCATCACAGGTGAAGAAAGAAAAGGGCTTACCGGATCTACTGATTAGGCTCTTTTGATTCTCGAATTGCTTTTTTTGCATTTTTGACTTGGTTATGACTTAAGAGTAATGATAAAACTTTTTCACCATCAAAAAACAACACAAAGTATGTTTTTTGATTCAAATTTTCCTTAAAATTGTCATGTTAATCTCATTTCTAGCAAATTCTTTGTAAATGAACAGGTAATATTAAAAATTGTGTATACCTAATTAAGAAGAGGAAAACTTCTCTCTTTGTGCTTAGTAAAATCTGATACTGCTTATTTTTTTCTTGGTGTATGATTTTTTTTATCCATTAGAGAATGTCCAACTAACAATAATTCAACCAACCAAAAATTAGAATAAATACTCGTACATTTTGATATAAATTTGGTGTGTTTATAATATGAATTAATCTTCTTTTATCGTACTTAAATGAAGAATTCGTAGACAAATACATAAATTTCGTTTCCACCATCGGCAGGCTTATTTTGAGGTCGTAAAATTGTAAATTTCTGCCAAAAACCGTCGTAAACCGATTGCGGCGTAGAGAAGCTTCGCGAGAAGAGAAAGGATCGTAAACTGAATAGATCTAAGACGTCTAGTTAAGTACAAAAGCCAAAAATTAAATGCGTTTTAAGGGAGCGCGATTTTTACGACTTGCTTTTGTTTTATTCTTACTTTAACAATTTTAATTTCCAGTTTATAAAACATTTAAGACTTACAGTCTTGCTCTTGCTACTTGTCTTGTCTTTATCTTGCTACTCATGTTTTTGAAAGACAGGGGTAACTAATGAGAAAAATGTGAGTATAACATAAAAAAACAATATTCTTCTCATGTTTTTCAAAACATGAACGCAAGAAAATACATCCGAAAGACCAAGTTTTTTATAAGAGAAGGGGGCAAACGAGCAACGGGAACACCGAGGCGTTCATCGACACCCATGGACATCAGTAATACCAAAGATACCGCAGTAGCGTCGCCGGACTTCGAGATTGTGCCATGTGCTTACTAAGCAATATTTATGTAGTTTTATTTTACTTTATCGGTTCTTGTATGTTAGAACAGACAATAAAACAATAATGTTTGTTCCGAAAATCTTACGAGTTATGAAACTATACATTTTAATGACGTCATAATTTGGCCTAAGAAATGTTATTTGTGACATAATAGTGGTTGTACCACCCGCAGCGGTAACAGCGCGGATTTTATTGTGCTCGTAAAAAGCACTCTGCCCATCGCCTTCGCCGTGGTATCGCCGCGACGCCCAATTAATTAATGAGCCAAGTTGAAAATGAATTACGCCATCGGGACTCGAAGGTGTTTGGAATAACGGCACTCAAACATTTCTTACCCGAGACTTAAGGCATAAAATTTTAAGCGCCCAGCCGTCTTGACTTTATGCTAATACGAATAAAACTTATTTGTTTTTCATTGTAGAACGTTTTTATTGTTGAATGATAATTTAGAACATTATAAATTAAATAATTAATTTAAAGTCTGGTTAAGTGTCGTTCTTAATTACGCAATTTGTTTGGTTGATGTTAATTTTTGACAATGTTATTGGCAACATTTTTGAATTATGTTATTGCACCGGCTCGTATTTGCTAGGTATTTGGTGTTGGTAGAAAAAAAATCGGTCAACATTTAGTATTTGTTTGGGAACAGACAACTAAATATATTTTTAATTTATCTCGATTTAGATATCTAATTTCATTTTAAAGATTAAAAAAAATAGAAAAAGTTTTTGTTTAGTAATGAATTACAAAGAAGTAACTTACATTTACTTTTCTTTGCATCTCTTGGTGTGAAAAACAAAAAACTTATTCGAAAATGTTAAAAAGAATTTGCACAAAATACATCATCTATTTTATTGTTTTCTTACATAAGGTAAAGGTACATGAAAAAAGCAGAGAAAAGAAATTAAGAAAAGTCGAGTAGCACCTTCGCAGAAACATCTTAATCTCGGTCCGACAAAGCGCGTCCTCCCCGCGACGGTCATTGGTCAGATATCGTCGCACGTCTACGCCCACAACAAAAAAATTGACACGAGCAAACAACAGTAAGATTAAATTTTATTTTCATGATATTAATGAAAATTTTCTTTAAATTACCTATATATAAAATGGGGCGATAGTTTTAACACTGAAACTATACTACAAAAATATTAAGTAAAAAGTAACTTGTAGTAGAATTTCAATAACTATAATACATAGTTAGCTAATTATTTAGAAATTTGTTTGTGTGGAAACTCACTAAAGTCATTTCATTAGAGCGTAATGTTCTTTGTAGCGGTTTGTTTGTATATTAAGCAAGGCGCCGAGTCACTGAGCTAGCCTAATCGTGTGATGTGAGGCGAGCGCCACGACGTTGTTTTAATTGAGTTTAGCTCCCACCTCCCCACCCCTTGCATTTTGCACCTTTGTGGCGAATGTCGTCCTCTAATGAACGTATACACAGACGCGATACTAAGTGTCGGTTAAGGGATGCGTGGGTAGTTGAACTTTTTTTTATTATTTCGAAGTCTTTTTGCCACAAGCGTTATACAACTCAATTTCTGTTGTTATATTTTAATGGTTTACTAAATAAGATAAT